CTTGTCGTTCAGGCCATTTGATGTTTTGACTAAAGATTGATACATTATCACATAATATTTCATTATATCATCAGTAGATAAGTAGTGATTGCCCGAATCAACCGTTTTTATGCAGCTCTTGCTTTAAAAAAGTCAAACATTGTAATCAATAGTTATTGTGTATATAACGATTAAACAAATTTATGTGCTTTGTTCTATACAGCATTTTTTACAATGCCTCTCATCCTTTTGGTGGAAATATATTTTATACAAGCAAATTTGTCACAAAATGTATGTCTTCAGCGCTTTAAATAAATATGTCCGCGTGTACCATTTATGGTACACGTGGCCTGATGGTCAAGTTTAACGTGTACCATTTATGGTACACGTGGCACGGAACGTGTTAATATTCAATACAATCCTATATTAGTTCAATACAATTCTATATTCTATATTCAATACAATTCTATATATATTCTATATACTATACAATACTATATAGATCATACAATTCTATTACGAAAATATTTACGTTCTCTTCGATATCGAAGGACAAATTCATGAAAAACAAGATTTATTATTTCAGTAAACAGCGATAAAACGTAGCGTACAGAATTGTGTATCTTTCCACGAATGATCTACGTTATAAAAAATAATTGCCGAAAATCATGCTCGATTTGACGGTTCACTCGAGGCACCGCCCTTAAGAGAAGAATAAAATAGTCGAAATGTTGAAAGCACGAGATTTCCACGTAATCGCTTCTTTGTTTTTGAGGTAACTGGCCGCCGTTGAAAAAAGAAAGAGGCGCTCAAGTTTTCTGCGCGTTTCGTCCGCTTTTAATGCCCGTATAAAACGGTAGCCTTAATTCCTGTCGGTGTATTAAGACTCGAAGCAACCGGCGACACTTCTTCTTTCCGGCGGTTCTTTTTTACAGCGGTTGTGCGCCGATTTAGCGGGAGCTGAATTGCCTCTCGCACGCTAGGCTGACTTTCGTTTTTCCGCTTCCTTTCTCGGTGCCGAAATCAACGGGACGACTGAAGGTCGGTTCCGACTCAATTAACCGAATACCTGCCAGCTATGTTCTCGTAGGACCGAGGTCAACGCTCCGCGCTTATCCATTCGTGCTTCGCACTTTTCTATCAATCCACGATTCTAGACCGTGTCGTATAGAGTAGTCCTTGGTTTTCGAGTTTCTGTCATTTCTTACCTCCGGAATCGTGACGCTTTGTAAGAACATGACGTTCGCAAAATTTGGAAGCAATCGCGAACGGCGAGAAGCAGTGCCACATTTTCATTAACTTTCAAGCGGTGGCCACTGTTTTAATATCATTAGTGATAACGTGACGCCAAATTGGCACCTTATCCAATAATGGTGATTTGAGGTCGAATTAATACCTTATTAACCTTTTAGGCCCGACACGCCACTATAGTGGATTTCGGGGATGTCATAAATTATTCATGCCGAACGAAAATTCAATCTTGTGATCAGTTTTTCTTCGTACATTCGTACTTTTTAATACCATCGGATCAGCTCCATATCTGTTCACAGCAAATAAATGAACGAATTTAATCGTTAGATAAAATTATCAGATTAATGTATAAATCATTAAATCCAGAGCAGTTGTAGTATAAAATGATAATTAGTTTTCGGATTTTATGCATTTATGACAAGAGTGAATAGGTGGAATACAAAACAGTAAAGGGAATAAATGCAGGGAATAAATTCAACAATGCAGTTTGATTGTTTTCTATCTATTAAAAATGTTGAAGATGAAAATAAATTTTTATTTAACAGTTAATCGTTGATACAGAATTTCCACATAATGTATGTGGTTGCATGGAAGAACGCCGCATGTCAAATGTTTTCATTTTCGAGCTCTTGCTGCTTGAAGTTCTCATCGTTAATTCTTCGCACTAGTAGTGTTATCGTATTTTTCTTTATATTTTTATAACAATTTGTTTTCATGATCTCTTTACCGATAAATACGTAAATCCTATTACAACTGAATCATGCCGCGTTTCCTTCGAACACCAATTGAAACGGAATAACTTCTTCCAAATTGGACAAAAACCACTTTCTTCTTTCAGATGTTGGAGGAACTAGTTTACTAGATATTGTTTAAAAAATTATTTTCAAAAAATTACAATTGATCATGGCAAAGAAAGCTTTTAAATTAGCGTTAATTCGATCAAGTAAATCGAGGAACGAAAAGAACAACGTAAACAAATCCAGAACAGATTCGTTTGTAGAACGAAGCGAATGTAGAGCAAATTTTGCGCTTTAAAGTGATATATTGCATGAGCATACATATATTTTGACAGCAATGTATTCGAAAACGGGCACCGAAGTTTCAAGTAAAACTATATGTTCGCCTGCGCGTACAGTTACTCTCATTAATATTCGGACACAATAGTATATTTCTTTATTTTTTGCTTTGTGCAAGACAGCGTGATTCATGATTCAAGTGACATGATAATGTCACTTATCATGCAAAACGATTCGCCATTTCTTACCGAGCAAAAATTCACAGTCTATTTTTTGCTAACAATAACGTAACAAAAATGTCTCGCAATCCGAAAGTGGCGGGTTCCTCAGGTCATTCGCAGACAACTTTGTCCTTTACAAA